AAATATGCGAGGCTGACTCGCAAACCACACTAATTGAAGGGGCATTATAGGAAGAAGAAAACAATAAATATCATATTTATTTTATTCTTCGAATGCAACAACTTATAGTCGACCGTCATTGATTTATATATAAGTCAATGTCGACCGTAATGTGTAATTCCCGTTTTCACTACTCATAATGCTTTGTTAACGTGATAGTAGAAATACCCTCAAAATGAACAAATTGTTAAATTGGCATCCCGGCACGCTTCCAACTGCTGTGGTGTCGGCCCGAAATTTGTTAACCGCAATTGAATTATTTTCATGTTCAACTACGTGAAATATGATCGTGGTTTGTTTTATAGTGGCTAAATGGTCGGATTTGTTCCGCCACCTATGTGCGATACTATTTATGTAGATGTCAATTAGTAAAGTTAACGTAATTTTTATATTAAATTAATTTTTTTAATAATTGAATTAGTTCCCTTTTGATGGCTCCGTGGCGCACTGGCTTAGCAATGAGTGGCTGGGCTGGGGGCCACGGGTTCGAATCCCGCACGGAACAAGTATTTGTATGGTCTACAAATAATTGTTTCGGGTCTGGGTGTTTGTCCTTGTAAAATGTATGTTTGTAAACTGCCCCCACGATACAGGAGAAAATCCTAGTGGGGGGGGGGGGGTAAAGTTTAAAAATTATAATGTAAGAAAATTATTCTATATATGTATAGGTACTACACGAGTTTACTAATTCATAATGAAGTAGCAATGGCCCGGCCATATAATTCGAAGAACCTACCATAAGTAGCATAAGTGACGACCTGGTAAGATGCAGGAAGTCGGTGGATGCAGGTGGCTCAGGACCGTGCTTTCTGGTAATCCTTGGGGGAGGCCTACATCCAGTAGTGGACTTGTAAAAGGCTAAAATAATGATAATAGTGATTATAAGTATGAGAAATCTTATATTATATTTTTGTTTATAACCGCGTACTATACGGCTTTAACAATGGAATTTTCATGTAAAATGAGCCACAATAGAACCAACCAAACACAAGAGAAGTACCCTTCCCCGACGAGAGTTTATGCGTAGATATATGGACGTAAAGGATATATATTTTATATATATATCTCATCTCATCTTACAGCCCTTCACAATCCGCGAACAAGCCCCCCAAAGCACAAAGAACGACGGGGCCCCCCCCACCCACCTCCTGCTTTTGCCGGCCGCCCCCTCCTCAAGGCGGGCCGCCCCACACCCCGCCCCCTACTACGACGCCACCGCCCGCCGCCCATCCCCCCCCCCCCCCCCCCGCTCTCCCCTCTTGACCCCGCCCCCCCCCCCCACCCCACCACCTTCGTCTCTGGGCCACGGTCGCCGCCCACGACCGACAAAACCACGCGACCCTCACACCCACAACAGAAAGACCACGCGCAGAAAGGCACCCCTCCCAAACCCCACCGACACTAGAGGGTATAAGGACATAAAAACACCCCCCGCGAGTGACGGATTCGCCAGTGCGGCGTAAACACCCACAACATATATATATATATATATATATATATATATATATATACTACCTTGCCGGGCAGACGTTGTTCTGCTCTTTTCATGACATTACTTTCCTTTGTCATGTCCTATTAAAAATCCTTACATTAGCAAAAAATAAATTGTGGGTCACTCATGCGCAAAAAAAATCTATCCTATCTCTCAAGTTGCACCAAACTGCACACGGTGTGCAAATTTGATTAAAATCGGTTAAGTAGTTTAGGGGTTCATCGCGAACAAACAACGTGGCACGTAATTTATATATATTAAGATAAATATACAATCGTCAATTTCATCGATAAACAAACAAACAGACCAATTATATATATTTTTTAATGTTTAAAGTACATGACATTTCCAAGTGGGGGATATTTGCCATAATTAATCTGCTCGACAGGTAGGCTGGAAAACGCAATGTTTTATTATATTGACTTGTTATTAGATAGATGCAACTCTTACGAAACCCAGGGAATGATATGGGGGAGCGGATTCTCTCGCCGCCACCACACAGCGATCTATAGAATACGTATACACAATAACTGATTTCTCAAAATCAACCCTAACCATTTGGGTGATATTTTTAACCGACCTCGAGAAAAGAAGGGGTACTCAATTTGACGGTATGTCTTTTAATATTTTCTAGGTGAACCGATTATATGATTACTTTTTATTTTAAAGCTAATGCTTATGTTAACCATGGAGTCCATATAAATTTGATTAAGATCTGACCAGTTGTTTTTGAATTATTCTCAATAATACGTATTTAGTTTATATTGAATACATTGACGATGTTCGCTTTTTATTTATATTGAAGTCGGTTGTGCAAAAATTTTTATATTACCACTTGCGCACTTAGATAATGTTTTACCTTACAAGTTTTTACATATTGGTTACTATTGGTTAGTACCAAAGTTTTCGTAAAAATATTGCTGTCACATTTTATTTTGGTCTGGCCTATTAGAGATTTTCCGCCATTTTCGGAAGCTTATGAGTTCTTCCTTTAGTTTCTGAGGATGAAAATAAATAATAGATTAATTTTCTTATAATTGCTTTATTTATTGCCACGTATATGTTACAGTCTGTTTCACAACTTGAAACCAAAAAAAGGTAAAAAGGAATAGGGAAAGCAAAAACTCCGACGAAGCTCACCGCCATGAATATCATGCTGGAAGTGAACATACGTTTCTGATATTCAGTGTTGCCGTTTCAGCGCATTTGGCGCTAGATCTGGTGCAATTCTATGGTCTATAGCGCTTTTTTTATGTATCTACGTGCTAAAAATATCTGGTAGACTAGTAATGTGGATATTTTTACCACGTTTATATTTCAAAAAGCGCTTTAGACCCTAGAATTGCACTAGATCTAGCGCCAAATTCGCTGAAACGGCAACACTGCTGATAATCCAGATAGCGGATCCTGAAAAAAATTAAAAAAAAATCTTTAGAAAGTATCCTTACGTGTATTCTCTAATAACAGACAGCCATTTTAGGTAAGTCCGGAATAAAGAACACAATTATGGGTTGACCAACATAAGGTTGTGTGAAAGACACTTAATTTTTTTACACTACCAGAATAAGGTATAATAAGACTATCAAGGGTGACAGGAACTTCCATTTACAAATATTGGACAAATATTGGAAATCTCATAAATAACAAATTTGAGAGACCAGTTATGAAGATCCGTGAAGTCCATATGTAAACAGACATACCTCTGTATGTCTGTTTACATATGGACATATGTAATCTAAGGATCTTTGTCTAAAAGTAGGGAAATAATACGGCACGACCGATACGATGAATTCCTTTTAAACCGTGTAGTGAGTGGACTATGGTAGTCTGTTAAATTTATCAAAAATACTATAACACAAATCAAGAAACCTCAACTTAATGTTATATACCCATTGGAATTGGAATATAACACTTCCATATTTGGAAGAGTGGTGATTCCTAGTACAAGGAAATCCTTTGCTTAAAAAGAAGCTCCAACCATAACATGATGTAATTAAGTTTGTCTTTTCATAGGTACAAAACTATTAATTATTATTATTGGCAGCCATTTGACTATGTGCAGATGATACACTACATCCTTGTCTAACCAACGGTGTGCTACGTTAACTTTGACTAGTTTTTGCGTGCCTTTAGTGGGTGTCCCTTACTTGTGGCCATTTTTTAAAAACAACCAGTTGTAATTATTATTATGATTCATTAACATAATACAAAATACCTGCTTACACCTGTTTGCCAGACAAAAGTGGCGACCTAAACTTTTAAGTTTATAATATTTATTTATATTATGATTTCTCTTTTCACGTTTAACTATTTTTATAATTTAATAATTTAGTAGTGATAGGACCACGCTGCAGCTATTATGGTTGTAGCACGAATGGGTCGGCTCGACCGGGGAAAGACCACGCTCTCACAGAATACCAGCGTAAAATAGCAGCTTAAGCTTGTGTTTCGTATGGTGAGTGTAGAGAACCGGAGATCCTTTTTACTGGAAACAAGGCATTGGATCTTAGTCCTCAGGGGTGACAATGCATTCGCATTTTAATTCTTTATTGAGGATAAATGTAGGTGTCTATGGGCTACAGTATCTACTTACCATCAGGAGGACTGTGTGCTCGTTTGTCATCCTATACTAGAAAAAAGAACTTGGAATCTCCATGAACTCGTAAAAATTTAAACATTCTTAACATCCTCCATTTTGAGGTAATTTTTTGTTATAACAAATTAAATTCATTAAATAATTAACAAATTTGAAACAAGGAAGTGAGAAATAGACTAGGATGCGTATATTGATAGAATTCGGCCCATATCTCATGGTGGCGGGCAACATTATCAGGTTACAGTCATCAACCTGCCTTTTCACGGTGGTAAGTAAATAAAAAAAGGTAATATTTTAAGAAATTCTTCTTAAATTTGTGGAAAGATTGAGTATCAAACAGTGAATTTTAAAAGACTGACAAGAAGTACTAGAATACTCAACAATCGATTTGAAACGTGACACAAACAGAAACACTAGCACACTCATATGGTACACACAGTAAGTATCAACAATATGCCAATAATTCAAAACACTATTGTAGTTTCTGTGGCTTTAAAACAACGCGGTCTGTTATTATTGATCAGCATAGCTACAATCGATCTGCTTTACTTTCGTCAGTCATTGACATTAATTGTCGGCGGCTGAGGGAAAAATATCACCGTCAGTGCATGGTGGAGAGCGGAGTGGACCAGCCGTTCATTGAGTGTTGTTCGGTTTTGTTGTATAAGCTCGGTGCATTATTTTCGGGGTCGCTGTAGCGTGTCTGGTATTGAATAAGCCCGGGGCCGATTGTATTGTGTGCTATGCGCGTTGGTCGATCGCGGACGCCTTTTGCTCGCTCGCTGCCGCCTGCGCAACTGAAAAACAAAAAAATGACGTTCGTACACAACTCCAGTTCTCGTTCATAGCTAACAGTTGTTACAAACCTTCAATATGTGCTGTGCGGGTTTCACGAATTACCTGTTCCACAAACTGAGGAAATACACATGTGGACTTGCCGGACGCGAAAGTAAGTACATAGCTTCACTGGAAACTATTTGCGGGTTATGTCATAAACAAACGCACATGTTCATTGTTTAGTTGATTTTAGTAATGTTAACGATAATATTAAAGTTTATTAACCATTACTGTTTCGAAAATAACTTATATTGTTTAATTTAAAATCAACAAATGATATCAGTGACACATCGCTTAACGTCAGTTGTATCTGTTCTTACAATAACCATAACAAAATTAAAAAATTATTTTCGCTTATCAATATTATATTGAATTCAAATTATTCGATCTCATTGTATATTTAAATTTAAAGACGTTTTTAACGACTTCATTAGCTCAACATGTTACCATATTTATTCTGTGATTTTACTCAAACTATATCCGCTCTCATCAATATACAATCACCGCAGACCTCAATGCAACTTTCTAGAAACGTTTCCCAGAAACAACATTACGTAGGCTGTACGCCTAGAACTACACTTAATGTCTATTAAGATAATAATATCTAAAACTTAATTTCAATATTTTTGCCTTATCTCTGTTTTATATTGCGTCTTATTACGGATACGAAATAACAAGAACGACGCGTTATAAAAAAACGTTGATGATAATTAAGAAAATTATACTCTTTGTAAAATTTGCAATTTCCAGTGTCCTTTTTACCCTCGGTAGACAGTTTAACATCTTATTAAAATAAAGATCAAACTTGTTTGAAGTATACTCATTAGCTACCATTAGAGATGAATAAGTAAATTAAACCGTACAAGCAGGAAACCATGGAAAAGGCAACATAAAAATGTTTCTGCAAAAAAATTAATACTTTACGTCATTACTTATTAAACTTAGGTTTTTTACCTTCATCATTGCAAAGTAATGATTGTTTATAATTTATAAGTTAAAGATAATTATAATGCAATGTTTAAAAATATAACCAACAACATTAATTAATTTTCTAATTTCTAACGTAATCAAAAGCTGACGTCCAATTATAATAATCATAAAGTTGGTTCAACGCCGTATCATTCGTAATTATTTTTAGTACATTCACAACTTAGTGACCTTTCGAATGCTTAAGTCGGAAGTCATTCTTCACGACTTTTTACAAACTTCCTTATATTGTTGAAGAGACAAGACGGGTTGTCTCTTAACGAAAAATATTTAAATATCTTTTTTTGGGCAAAATTTCATTACAAAAATATAACCATTTAATTACATAACACTATTGTCGAATAAAATACGTCATATTTATTTTTATATTAGACAATCAATAGATCATTGCACATCGCACTGAAATTATTGAAAATGAAATCACACAATTTTGATGTCATAATAAACATTTGAAATATATCTACCTACTCGTTAATCTATCGACGTTTATCGCAATATTATAATACAAAATATATTTATAAATTGGCAGAAGTTTTTGTGTTTGACTGTATTATTATTTCATGGCTACTACTATATTAAGTACATTAATCTGCCTGGCTTATTGGTAAAATTATTTGGTAATAATATTTAGTACGTATTAGGAAACTGTTTTACTATAAAATCTGACAATAATCACCTTTTACAAATCGTAAACAAAAAATAATATAACATATAAAATATTTGCTTTACTGGAATTAAAAGTTTTTAATGAATAAATCTAACATGCCATTTTTTTTAATTGGACAAATAAAGCGTGTCGACCTTGACACGGCGGCCAAACATTATCCTTTTGTCTCAATTGGCCGGTAATTGCCGGGGACGTCTTCAGTTCTATTCTCAGATACAATTTGCACTTACAGCTCATGTCAAATTGCACCTTAACTGAGCTACGAGGGGTAAACTTTATTATCTTAAATATGTAACTAGTGGTTATACTAGTTCACAATATACTAGTTCTAATGTAATTTAAAATGTATTATCTATTTTTGTCAACCCTGATTTAATCCAAAAAAGGGGGTCTAAAGTTATTTTTGGATGTCTTAATATTGTTAGTGACGGAGGGATTTAATGTTTCCTGGCCACACATTTTGGTTGCCTCTACTAAACAGTTTTTATGAATATTCATGTGCAACAGATGAATGCTCTGACTCTGAATTGTTGATACATTTTATTTAGATAAATGGAAGAGTTCTAGGTATTCCATTTATTAAATTTTTATGTAACTAAACAATCATTAAAAGTGGCAAATTATTATAACAAGAATGACAATAACACTTTAAATACAAATGAAGCTATGATTATTATCGCCAGCCTGGACAAAAAATATAATTATTTGAAATTAGTTATTAAACATAGTTTTCACAACATTTAAATACCGATAACAAAAAACTGTCCACAAGATATATTTATAAATTTGTGAAGCTTAGAAAAGCATGAGAATTTAAATTTAAATCAGAAGCTACAGCTACAGCTGCAGTAACATGAAAACATAAAAATGAACTCGGGTTATAAACAGAAAACAAATTAATCAAAAGAATTTGGTTTTTGTATTGTCTTGGTGAATATGTTGTGGTCTCACTAAATTTGATCAATGTTACATGTGATGTGTGCGAACCAGAACTGCATGGAGTCCCTGAAAGCTTCTAAATGTACCTGTTCGTAACTGAGGATTAATAAGGATTTTGTGGGAAACATATTTGTGTTATCTACAGACATGCCAAGGGGTAAGTACAAACATTTGACAAAAAAGGGATTTGTAATAAAAAAATTTAAATCCCTAGCAATTTGCATGACTACATATCTTCTCCAAATGCATTTATCCCCTGGCGCATAAGAATCGCTTAATTATGGATATTGGAATCTACATAATTATTGGTGTACTTTAACTTTCATCTACTTAATAAATCCTGTTTGATTTATATTGTTTGTAAGAAAATATATAACCCTTTTATAATTGTTGTTTCTGTTATAATTACTCGTGTGATATTTATACTGTACATTATATTCTTCACAAAATTTCTCTGTTAATTTAATTTCTTTCTTAACTTATTATGTAGGGATTTCTCATTTCTTCTCAACCCTTACTTAATTCTCATTCTATCTTATTCTATAAATATTTGGAACAATGTACTTAAAGCTAAATATGAAATAAAATATTTACCTATGTTAACATATAATTATTACTTTAAAGCTATTAAGTTCTCATTTCTCTTTATAATTAACTACACTTTCTAATTCTATATGTATAAGTTTATAAGTGCTGAACGATATACTTCATATTATATATTTTACAAGCTCTAACAACTATACCATAACAATATACACAATCATCTCCACTACACCACTATTCACTGTCGATTCCAAGGTTAAAAAAGAATGCATCAAAATCAAGCTCGGCAAATAATTCCACAAAATGACTTTATCGTTTCCACATCAACTTTAATAAGTTTGTAATTTCATAACAATCCGAATTCTTTTCCGGTACTTACATCTTATCCAAAATATTACCTAACGCATACTGCAGTTCTTTGGTATTTCGATTTGATAAAAGGTTTGATTTCATGATAAAAATCTCCTTTGTTTCATATATTCAACTAAATTATATTCAGTTATTTTCTAAATTCCATAATCAAATCATCAAAAAATCTCAATCAATCAATCAAAAAATCTTTTTTTTTTTTCTAAGGCAGATTTACACTTTGCTTTTAAGAATGATTATTGATTAAGTATTTATATTGAGACTGGGACTGGAATAACCCAGCCGTTTTGTTTTACTTAAAATTAGTTGAATTTGAAATCACGTGATTTTTTTTATTTTTTAGTTTATTGTTGCAAATACTACAGTCAAAGGACCGAGTGGGTTGATTGGCGTTCTCGGTTCTCGTATTACACCATTTGACGCCACTTGAATCAATGAAGTGCCATTGGCTCATTGTTTAATCGTTTGTTTTATCAGCTGTAGTGGACATACATACCCAAGATCGTAGACAGAGAATTCTAGGATTCTCTGTCTACACCCAAGATGCTCGTGTTGCGGATACGGATCATTATGTTTTTTGACTGTTTTAATCCACTAATAAGAAAGTTCTTTATTAGTAATAGATGGTTTTAATACTCATTCAATTGATGAATGTAGTGTTACAAAACGTTCAGTATTTAATTTACTCTCTTTTTATTATCAAATAAATCAATCAGTAGTCTTAATTCGCCACATATCATTATCAGTAAAATTGATTTTATTTTTTTTTAAATTCCAAAATAGCAGCCTTTTTATTTGATAATAATTGGCGCATCACAGAAATGTCTTTCCTTATATTATAGTTAATGTCTTATAGCTAACCTACATAATATAACTTTATACCAACACTAAAGGCAATTGTGGACTGTTATATCTAATGCATTAAAGGAACAATACAATACTACTATGTACACTTTTGCCGTTTTCCTTTTAGTAATATTCAATTGTTCGATGCTTACACATGAGAATTAATTCCGAACTCTATATTCTGTAAACATAGGATTGTTGAAACTGCGAAATGGAGGCAGTTAACTGAAATTACATTAGTAATTTAATAAGCTTACAGTATATACCTTTAACTTATTTATTAACTCAGAAATATGCTTTCTGATATGCCTTAAAAGCACTTACTTCAAGTTTTATATCCGTAGTGCGACAATCTAAATCTACTCTCATGTTTTTATTAATATTTTCTTGTATCTGGTGACATTGTGTCTGTTGGCAACGCTTTAAGGTATCGTAGTAACCTTGCTCTTTTTTGACTTGTTTACTTCCTTTAATACTTAGCTATGTTTATTTACTACTGACACAATTTCATATATTTTGTTCGTTTGCCGTTGACTGTAGAGAGCATACTAATAAACAGTTTTATCACAATGATTATTAACATTTTTAATGAAAATAATCATGCTTTTTGGATCATCGTGGACGAAAATTAATAATTGTTTATTTGGTATAATAGATATGGTATATTATCAATAACCTAGTCGAACAACAGTCACCTATACTCGTCAAATTTATTATAATACCTACCTACCCTAAAAGGCAATAAATATAAGATAGTTTTTTTTTAAATTCATGTAATTAAAGAAGCTAACTAAGAGCTAACAGATCCTTTTGTTCTATAACCCCTCGTCTGTCCAAACGACATATTATATGCGTGCAAATAATATGCGCATCTGTCAAACGCCATAATATGGCGTCGAGTGATAGCAAACTATTAGTAACATATATATGATATATATAACATACTTATATATATAACATATGTATCTGTTATGAATAATCTGATAGTAAAATCCAATAATTATTTTAATATACTTATATATATATACTAGTATACTTGTTATATACTTACACCTTAAGAGCCCATATGCCAAAATTACCCTACATTCTATAATATAAGAATAACCTTAACTATACTGCACATGGACATCTCACTTTGATAACATAATCTTGAAATTGAACTAAAGATGATATTTAGATTTTACCTTTAGTGGGAGTTCTTAAGGATTTGAACATAATCCGTCTAAATAACTTAATTTATATACTTAATTTTAATTCCTAATATTAAATATATTAGAATGATATAAGGAGAATATTATAATATAAAAACTTTAACATTTCTCGTCATCGACAATTATTTTTAATAATATTTAACTTGTTAATAATTCTAAGCTTTTTCTGTCACTATGTTGAGTTTGATTTGTTTAAAATAAAGGATGAGATATTATAGTGTGTTAAGTGTTTCCTTTTGTGGATTTTGTGTAATATATAATTTCTTATTGAAACGTAACTCATCGCCCACATATCTAAGCGGTGGTCATAATGAACGACGACATCATCAGATATTTCCATATTCTGACGCATTGCTCTCGTGTACGCAAAGAGAGCCTTTTGCTCATTTATCTAGAGCGTGTGTGCGAATAACGTCTTGGTTTGTTCTCAGGCGACGCCGATATGTCGCTGAAGCAGGGCAGCGGCACGGGCAAGGTCCACTTCGGTGGTCTAGACGATGTGTCTCTGTACGGCACGCCAGTGGAGCCCGCACCACCAGCCCCCGACGCTAAGCAGGGTTTCCTGCGCAACCAGTTACAAGCACTCTTCCAGCCTACAGATAACAAACTCGCAATGAAACTCTTCGGCTCAAAAAAGGCTCTGATGAAGGAGCGCATCAGGCAAAAAGCGGCGGGTCACTGGGTCATCCATCCATGCAGCAGTTTCAGGTATGTTCATTGTTATTTACTGCTATTTTAATTGAAATTTGTTATTACTATTATAAGATATGTAACCTTACACTTTAGCGTTCTTATTGGCCTTGTCTACTATGAAATTACAAAAGTCTTTTGTGATTGCAGAAAAAAAATACAAATTTGAATATGTATAAGATCTATAATAACAAGACTGTTTTTATCTTAAAGATAACAATCACAAGACCAAATTCATTAAATTTTACTTATTAATATTCATTCGCGATTAAATGAAGCATAAAATTGACGTTTGAAGCACTTTATATTGGCAATTGTGGTTTTGTCGTATTGTGGAACGATTACTTTTAAACTCATTTTATTGGCTGTGGAAACAAATTTTCCCATTGAATACCTCACTCTGATACATAAAATATTTATTCTTTACTGTACTGGATGTGTCAACTCCTGCGAGGAGTAGAAATTAAACTTCAAGCACCTAGGTATGCAATAAAATAGATATTGCTATTATTTTGTTTGCAACGTAATTATTTCTTATATTTAGGCGAACACTACACATTGATTAAAACTACTTTTATGGATTTTTTCGCATTTAATTTTAATGTTTTTTTTTTAATTCCCGACGTTTCGGTTGCTTTCCAGCACCCATGGTCACGGGTGACTGATATGACTGACGTCCCGATGTCATTGTGAACATGATGTCAGTCATCTCAGTCCCCCGTGACCATGGGTGCTGGAAAGCACCCGAAACATCGGGAATAAAAAATTAAATTAAATTAAACGCGATAGAATCCGTAAAAGTTGTTTTAATCAATGTTGTTTGTAACGTATTCGACATATAATGTTGGCTGTTATAGAAATCGTAAAAAACCGACTCTCTTTAGTCGATTTAATTTTCCTTTAAGTTCGAAAATCATTCTTCTATTTAAAAGAAATTACTTCACAGACTTAGGATACGGACTATTCAACTTTAAATTAAAGCTTTGACTTCGTCAGTTGATTTCTTAAATTATGTCTTTTTTATTTATGCCCCGACTGCCCCGTTAGTCTAGAGATCATAAACGCCATTGCCTATCATGCGGTCCTGAGTTCAAACCCCGGGTCGAGCCAAAAATCTATAGCAGCTCGGAATGAGGAAGTTGACGATGTTTCACCCACTTGATTTGGAAAGCACATAAATCTGTTGGTTCTGCGCTTGCTCTCTCTCCGGTCGTACCGTCCCATCGGAATATGAGAGTGACGGAATAGAGACTGCACCTGTGCATACACTTGGGCACTATAATTCTGTACTGCGCAGGTGGCTAGTCTTTGTTGAGACTGACCACCGTGACCAAACCTCGGTCTGGATGACATTATTATGATATTTTAAGGTGAGCGCTAACCCCCGAGCTTGAGGAAATGGTTTACGGTAATTTAGTTGGCAGTTTAATATAGTGAAATCTTGTAGAATTTTTATCGATCGAAACCACTTTATTAGTCAAATTGCCTTATTCTGATCTAGTCCACAACACCACTGCGTCGAAGGCGGTGACCCTTTACAATCTCGTTGTGGTAAAGAAAGTAGAGCTCTCTACGGTACTATATGTATATATGCGGAAAACACAAATGTAAAAATGTGAGAGACAATCTACGTCTTATCCCTTACTGTGGTTGAATGTATTTATATACCTCTGATGTAATCTTCATACATTTTAGATCGGAACATTATGCATAAGTAAAATGATAAAGTGAGGCCGTTTCTCCATGTGCACCTGAGCTTAAAGCTCCATTGCATGTCTTAAGCGCAAAGTGCGTAGGTATGTTCTACTATCGCCTAAAAATCAAGAATCCAACGTTTTGTCTCATGAAATCGTATCTAATGATCAAAATAAACAAATAAATAATATAAAAAGCACATTGTCGAAAGATAAATGATTGTTGAACTTATTATTATTTTTAAAACAATTAATTGCTATTTTTACATTAAAAAGTGGTTTTAGTGGCTTATGATGTAGATTTATCACGTCCGCATGGAGGTGTAAACAAGATAAATTTTGAATGATAATTGTTCAACTCAATTTTATTTTTTTATCAATTCATCTGTCAGCGTGGGAAGCCATGGAATGTAAATAGCTGTTTAATTTTATTTTATTAAGTTATAATAAATTTTTTTCGGCTGCAAAAACTCGAAATTTTCCGTGCCTGAGCTGCCTTGTAAAAACATATTTTACTAAATACAGATATATTTTGACTTACTGAGGGCTCAGCCGCCGTCGTCAGTGGGTTACTGTGTCGTTTGTTTACAGCGGCTCGTGATTAAAAATATCGATCGCTATAGATAATACAAAATATAATAATATAATCGAAAAATCAAATTTGATACATAGTTGATCAAGGTAAAAAAGGGTGTGGTTGTATGAAATATATATATATATATATATATATATATATATATATATATATATATATATATATATATATATATATATATATATATATATATATATATATATATATATATATAACATGAGCGCTTAAGGCATGCACATTTGGGTTTACCAAAAGTTTTTTTTTTTAATTTATTGTTGCCTGAGTGTATGCTCACATGACGTCAAGTGATTTTAATCGAAAAAATTCGGGGAACATTATTTAAGTTGTTATTTTGGTTATTGAAGGTTCTATTAGAATTGTTTTAATATTAACATTTTGAAAGTAATACGATCTTCTACGTTCTATGCATTATGTACATTTAAAAAAAAGTAAAGTAAAGTTACAGCCTATATACGTCCCACTGCTGGGCTCAGGCCTCCCCTCATTTCTGAGTGGGTTTAGGGCAAGGAAGTGTCCGCCGCGCTGCCCAAATGCGTGTTGACGAACTTCACATGTCTTCGAAATATTTTTTTCCTTATTCTTCAGACATGCAGGTTTCCTCACGATGTTTTCCTTCACCGCCGAGCACGTGGTAAATCAGCACTTAAAATTGCAATTAACAATTTCATTGGTGCCGGCGGGGATCGAACCCGGGTTACTCACGTTCTGTTATATTTACAGCGAGCGTTAACCACTGAGCTACCACGGCTTACATATATTGTACATTTATTAATTACAAAATAAAATAAGGTCATACAAAAAAACGGAGAAAACACACCCATAGGGATTTAAGTTCTTTGTTATCCCACTGACGAACTAAACTAACCAATGCAAATGTGTTTTTCTTCATTTTCCCTGACAATATTCATCCCAATAATGATAATAGAATCAAGTGTTACAGAATTTCATTATAGAAAAAGCGTTTTGCTTTAATCAAATCTTCTCATATTTAAATCTTGATTTTTCTCTACGGCGTAAAAAATTATTGAGTACGGGAAAATTACGATTATCTGACATCGCTTCCTATTTTATTTTTGGTTCGGAAATTTGTTTTAGAATTTATGAAGACAAAATTATTTTTGTATTCAAGTGATTACTTACATAATATATCCACTTCCTCACCTCATTCCATAAATTTATTGATATTGCGACTTACGATAGATTAAATATATATATATATATATATATATATATATATATATATATATATATATATATATATATATATACGAACCAATAAACACTCACGCCTGTCACCCAGAGGGGTAGGCAGAGACTACAGACTTCCACTTGGCACGATTTTGACACACCTCGCTCGCTTCCTCCACATTCATATACCTACGCATACATGCTCGTCGGTTAAGGGTACTCCTAATTTAGCCCATTTTCAATATGTCGCCAATTTGGTCGATATACTTTCGCCTTGGACGTCACTTTCGACTCTCCGATTCACTTTTGCTACATAAATTTGCGATATCTTAAATACTTATTTTGAAGTTAAGGCAAAATTAAGGGATTTGTAAGGAAGAACAAAATATTTTATACAAACGAGTTATTTATGATTTATTATTTACATTTCCGCATATTTATGACATTTTAAAACATTTTTCGGTACAACACCTTAGGATAGTATACGACTTAAATAAAATGTTTACCACATTTAACCACCTTCAAAATTAGGTGGCCTAATACCTTCTAAATCATTTTTCTAATATCTAGATTCTGGTAGCACAATTAGATTGGAACAGCGATTCATTACCAGTCATAAATATAATATCCAAGATCGGTGCGCGCTATCGCTTATCAGTAAAGTAGGCGAGTTGACAGCCTCCGTTCTGATTACGCGCCATTGCTATTGGATACAGATTCCGATCGATCCACATCGACGCGTCGATACTGTCATGGGTCTTGGCATTAGCGTTTTGGGATATTCACAAATGTTGAATATTCTTTACTACTTTTCACTACAAAAATATTGCACACACACAATCTCTTCAATAGCTGTCCGTTATTTTCGCTAGAACCCAAAAATGACTCGACCAATTTTGATGAAATGTTTTGTGTATTTGAGTGGGTCCCTGGATGGTTTAAAATTAATTGGACCCGGTAGATGGCGCTGTTGTCGAGACCCAGAAATCACCCGTGTGAAGTCAGGCCGGATCACAAGTATTTACATAAAAGAATATTTCAGTTATATTATTTCCGTTACTGCTAAATTAAAGTCCTTGCTGAACATAGACCTTCCCTATAGATTGCCTCAGAGGAGGGAGGATATTTGCCATAGTTGTGCTTGGCAAGCGGGTTGGCAATCGCAGTTTCATATTTTAGTGGTTATTAAGAAGATACTGCTGCCTATCTGATTTGTTTCCCTCTGTCGACTCTTACGATTTACGAATGATATGGGTAGTGGTATTCATACACGATACAGGGATATTCTTACACTGCCACTTAAAGGATAAAGTACCTAATATTACGTGATAGAGCCACGCTGCAGCTATATCATGCTTGTAGCACGAATGGGTCGGCTCGACCGGGAAAGGACCACGCTCTCACAGAATACCAGCGTAAAATAGTAGTTCAATGCTGCTGTATTTAATATGGTGAGTGTAGAGAACCGAACACCCTTTTTACTGAAAAGGAAGCATTTCATCTTAGTCCCCAAGGCTGGC